AAAGTAGTGGAAACGATTGGCTGCTTAGACATGGGGTGAAGGGGGCAGGGTCTAAACTCTAATAAAACTCCGCACGGAGGTAACTGTATGAGCCTTGGGGAACCACAGAGTTGCCCACCCTCCCACTCTGTCTATGGTGTTTGTCCCAGCTTTCTCAGCAGTTATTGACCTTGCCAGCATTAAAGGTTGCCTTAATGGGCTATGCTCTTGATTGGTTGTTGGGTCAGTCTAAAGCAGCCTTTTTTAACCAGGGTGCCCAGAAAGTTTCTTCAGGGGTGCCTTGGCAAAATGCCTAAAATTTGTATACAAGACAGGAGGTGGATCAAGCCTGCCTTTTAGTTACACAGAGCCATAGGTTTTCATTGTGCTCCATTACAACCTTCTATCTGCCAGCCTCCAAACAACCAATTATGCTACCAGTTGATATGGAGGATGTTGGTCGCCTGCACGACATCCTTGTTTGACCCTCCCCTACCCCTCTCTGTCAGTAATGGGGTCACATTAGCTGAGTGATAGAGAGAAACTGAGGGAGGAACATTGGAATACTATTCAGTATCCATGTGCAAAAGTGTATTTGCTTTGGAAAAATAAACCCCCTCTAACTTTGGGTGTCCTACATGTGTGGATGTTGCTGGATTAGGTAAAACTATTAGAATAGTTTTTTACATTTTAGAATGGGTTGGCTTGAGACTGTCCAAAATTTTAAAGGGTGCCTCAAAATTGTTCATAACTTTAAAGGGTGGCTTGACTGAAAAAAGGTTAAGAAACACTGGTCTAAAGTCTTCCGATACTCATGGTAAAGAGAGGCCCTTTTCACTAGGTCAGTGGTGGGCAACCTTTTTTTTTCAACTGAGCCAAATCTCGCCAAAAACCACGATTGAAATTTATTTTGAGAGCCACATTTTTAAAACTGAAAATACATCCCCCATATAGTAATTCATCCCCCATAGTAATTCATCCCCCATAGTAATTCATCCCCCATATAGTAATTCATCCCCCATATAGTAATTCATCCCCCATAGTAATTCATCCCCCATATAGTAATTCATCCCCCATATAGTAATTCATCCCCCATAGTAATTCATCCCCCATATAGTAATTCATCCCCCATAGTAATTCATCCCCCATATAGTAATTCATCCCCCATAGTAATTCATCCCCCATATAGTAATTCATCCCCCATATAGTAATTCATCCCCCATAGTAATTCATCCCCCATATAGTAATTCATCCCCCATATAGTAATTCATCCCCCATAGTAATTCATCCCCCATATAGTAATTCACCCCCTATAGTAATTCATCCCCCATATAGTAATTCAGCCCCCATATAGTAATTCATCCCCCATAGTAATTCACCCCCATATAGTAATTCATCCCCCATAGTAATTCATCCCCCATATAGTAATTCATCTCCCATAGTAATTCATCCCCCATATAGTAATTCATCCCCCATAGTAATTAATTCCCCATATAGTAATTCATCCCCCATATAGTAATTCATCCCCCATATAGTAATTCATCCCCCATAGTAATTCATCCCCCATATAGTAATTCATCCCCCATAGTAATTCATCCCCCATATAGTAATTCATCCCCCCTATAGTAATTCATCCCCCCTATAGTAATTAATTCCCCATATTGTGTCAATTCACTTACCTTTGCTCCGCGCGTTCCTCGCGCCGTGTTCCCGCGCCGTTCCGGTCTTCAGGGCGGACTGTGAGAGGAGAGGAGTTCGGCACGCTGCCCCGCCTACATCCTGGCTGCCCCGCCTACATCCTGACAGCTGCAGAGTCCTGACTTTAATGCGGCTCTTCTGTGTGCCGGGCGCCCGCTCCCCTCCCTCCTCTCGGGCGGCCGCCCGGCACACAGAAGAGCCGCATTAAAGTTTGTAAGGAGCCGCATGTGGCTCGCGAGCCGCGGCTTGCCGACCACTGCACTAGGTCAACTTAAGGTCCAATGTGACTAGCACTGATTAAGTGTTTAAGTTGAAAATTGTTTGCAATGGAAAATGTAAATGTAGTGCTACCCCGCAAGAGCTGCTGGTATATTTGGGTTCTCTGTTTGTCACTAGGCACAAGACAGAACCACACCCCTGCTGATACCACCAAAGTACTTTGGCCAGGGAGTCTCCCAGCTGCCACACAAGAAAGATAGTCCCTGAGTACAAACAATCTGGAAGGTTGACTCTTCTGCTGGCTTAGTTGAGGCCCTTATGTTGGCATGCAGCAAAAGGTGCAGTCTCCTTAAGATGTGTCGAAACCGGGTAATTCCCTTTAAGAGGCAAAGTGGTTAGCAGAGTTCTCCTTACCGGGTAAGATTGGTTGGAAAGGTCACTTTAAGATATTGAATTTTAAGCAACAGTCACTTTAGTGGTTGCATTTCGGGTAATGGTCACTTAAAAAGAAAGGGAGATTGGTACCATAGTAGGTCAAGCAAACTATGGATGGCGGGAAGGAGAGGAGGAGGAAAAGCCATCATTCAGCAGCTGCAAGAGGAAAATGGAGAGGATCAGTTCCTGGATTCACTTTAAAGCTGATCTAGTCTCCTCGGACCTTATTTCTTTACTTTGGACAGTCCTGCTCATAGACTTTTGAAACACCTGTTGCCAACACTTGTTAATGTCACCTTACATATTTGGAATGACTGCTTGGGTAAACAGATTCTGTCCTCGAGGCTGAGCCCTGTGACTCCTATGTTTGGTGATGTCTTTTTCCCTCCTACGTTTACTAGTGCCAAATTCCTCTCTTGGCAGAAGGGCGATAACCCATTCTTGTGTCACACATTTAGTAGGGGTAAATTGCTACCACTTTCTTGGATAGTCTCCAACTGTCATAACCTGTGAAAATAACCTGTGAAAGGCATGGCTTGAATATAAACATTTGCAGCACTACCTTAAACAGTACTCCTCCATTTACCTACTGACAAGATTACCCACTGTATTTGAGTCATTACTCTCTAGGTCACCTGATAACCCGCTTTCTCAGATATACCAAATTTTGCTCCAGGAATTTTACCTGGACCCATCCTCTTTTCTTTTCAAATGGGAACAGGAACTGAATATATGACTTGGACTGGGACAATTATTTGCATTATCATACAAACTCTTGCTCTGGTCCAATGCCCAAGAACACCTTTATCATATTCTTTCTCATTGGTATCGTTGCCTTACCACTCTCCACAAAATTGACCCTTCTGTCCCCCATGCATGTTGGCATTGTTTGCAGACTCCTGGCACAATGCTCCATATCTGGAGTACTTGTCCATGCACTGTCCCTTTTTGGGATAAAATACTACATTTTACAATACTAGTAGTATGAAGTATAAAATACTACATACTACAACCCCAAATTACGATTATCTCTATGCTGCCAGGATCCTACAAACAAATTAGGAAAAGTCTGATTAGACACTTTTTCTGACAGCAGCTCGATCTGTCATTGCCAGATGTTGGTGTCAGTCTGAACCACCATCTTTGGCTGCTTGGGCTTATGAAATGAACAATATTGAATATATGGAAGGCATATCGCCCAAATCTTTGATCAATAATGACTTAAAACTCTTAACGAAAATATATACAAATCGATTTAACTAATTTCTGGTGCAATATATATTCATATAGATCAGGTGGGATTTGTCCCAGGGCAACAGGTCACAAATCAGATTCTACGGGCCATAGATCTGGTCTCTTTATTGTGTTCCAACTGGGATGGTGTAGGTACCAGACAAGGTATGTTGTTGTCATTGGACCTGCATAAGGCCTTTGACTCTTTATCTTGGCCCTTCCTGTTTCACATATTAAAGAAAAGGAATTTCGGACCAAAATTTCTCACCTTAATGGGTGTGTTATACTCAAACTTCTAATCGCTTATGGTTGTAAATCGGACCTCTTGAAAATTCAAAAGGGGTCTAGACAAGGATGTCCTCTCTTGTCTCTCTTTTTTGTTGTAGCAATTGAGACGTTGGCAATAGCTATCCGGTCCAACCCCAATATTCACAGTATATCAAGTGGAGGTAAAATCCATAAATGTGCTTTATTTGCTGATGACCTGTTGCTATTTATCATAGACCCCATTATGACCTTGCCTAACTTATTTGCCACCATGTCTAACATTGGAGCCATCTCGAGATTGTGGGTGAATCAAACCAAATCAGAAGCGCTAGATGTAAATCTTTCAAAGTCAGTCTAGGGCTTGGTACAGATGTCCTTTTCCTTTAAATGGTGTGCACAGGCACTCCCTTATCTTGGTGTTAAACTTACCTCTGACATCGCCATGCTGTACCGGGTTAAATATGCTCCCCTTTAGGTCTTAATTGAATTGACTTAAAGAACTGGCAGGCCCATACTCTTTCCTGGATAGGTAGAAAAGCGGTGGTTAAAATGATGGTTCTTCCTCGAATAATATATTATTTCGGTCTCTGCCAACCCCAGTACCATCTGCATTCTTTCAGAAACTGCATTTGCTGATCTATAAATTTATCTAGCGTACTGGTGGTTGCAGGGTAGCTTGTTCTACTCTGTATACCTCCAAGTGGTGAGGCAGTCTGGGAGTTCCCCATTTTCTGTGCAATCACAGAGCTGCTCAACTAGTCCAGTTGTACCAAATCTTTTCTAAGGCATATCAATCTGACTGAGTCAGATTGGAGGCACAAGTTAGTACATCTGTTCCCATGGACCTCCTGTTGTGGCTCCCTCGATCCAGATCGAGGGGACCAACTCTCTTCTATTTTACTCTTCTCTCTCTTTCTTTCTTCTATTTTCTTCATTTTCATTTATTGTTAAAATGTGATAATTTTCATATGGAATTATGGAATAATTCTTGCAATTATTCTCCTTCACCTCTCCATGAAACCGAGCTGATGTTCACTGTTATGTCCTTTCACACTTATATCTTATTTGTCTTTTACGATAGGGTGATTACACTTATTGAGCTTCACACCTTTGCTACACTGTTGCTCTCTTTGGTAGGACCAGCCTGTTAGATTTATTTCTCTTGGTTTTCTATCAGGGGCGGACTGACCATTTGGAAACTTGGGCACTGCCCGAGGGCCCAGGGTCAGTAGGGGGCCCCATGAGATGCCCCTGGTACCTTTTTCATAGGCTTTTTTGAGTTTGGACAAGGACACAGGTACCCCATGATCCCCTATTGCCCGGGGGCCCCATGAGTTGTCAGTCCACCCCTGGTTTGTATGTATTTTGACTACCACAATCTGGCCCTGGAGGGTGCATCAACCTTTTCTTTCCTCTTTTTTGACACTTGCTTGATACTGCTTGTATTATTGCATTTTGGTAAATCTTTGAATATAAATCTATTGAAAGAGAATATATAGAGGGCATGATTTCCAAGGATGAGGACAAGTCCAAATCTCACAGCCTCATGTGGATGGTTTGAAATTAATTTTGTTATTCTTCCAATTGTGCCTCTTTTATTTCTACTACGGTTTAAATGTGTATGTACTTCCGGGATCCTGTTACATGGACGTGCCCTCCGGCTATCGCATACTGACCAGTCCCCCCCCCAAACTTTTTTTTTATGCATTGTTCCTTTTCCCACTCTTTTCTTCTCTTTCGTTTTTCTTCTTTTGGTCCTTATTTCTCTCTGGGTTGTCCCATTTTTAAATCTATGACTCAGTGTTAGCATCCTGGACGTCAAGGTGGTTTTCCAAATGGACATACACATATGTAGATGCTATTTTCTGTATATTATAGATGGGGACCCTACTGTTTTCTGTTTGACAGCTTATATTAGCATACCTAGTATGTATTTGGTTAGCTTTTGCTCTGAGAAATTTTGTCCTCTTTAATCTGTGTACTATCATTTAATCGTCATGGTAAAGCACTTATATATACACAGGTATACCTATGTTTTTCTGTTATGGATATGTTTGTACCTTTCTGGTCCATTATGGACATCGATCTTTTCTGCTTTACTATTTGCAAAAGTTAATAAAACAGATGAATCTAAAAAAAGAAAGGGAAAGGGGGGATTGACAGGCCTGTGTCCCTTTAAAGAGTGAAATTGAACTTAAGTCTTTTCTCTGCTAGAGGTTAGAGCTTGAGCTTGGATAGATGCAGTTATGGTTATCTGGTTCTGCCTTGCAGGGGGCCAAGGGGTAACTCAGTTCAGTATGCTGCAGGCAGTGATTGTGATAACAGTATAAGGATGACAGTCTGCAACAGTGAGGGGCACTGGCACATGTATCACTAGTAGAGGCTTATGCTGAAAAATGTCTGAAGCTTGAAGAACCTGAATGGCAGCAACTGTTTGCAAAGTCAATGAATGGGTTAGAGCCCCTCTCACCCAGTCCTGTTGTAAATGATCAGTGTAGCGGAGAGTGTCTGACGATGAGGGGCCCCTCTTTTCTTTTTAGGATACGGCTGTGCTGGCAATGGCTCTCGCTCTTCTACAGCAAATAGGTCTCCACAAGAATGCTTCTTCCCCTTGGAACCTTGGCTAAACAGCTTTCAATGTGGTTTCTTGGCCTAACCTGGTCCGGTGAAGGTCCACGTGGCTTGACACTGATCTCAACCTACATACTCCATACCCAGTAAAATGTCTCTCCAACGCCCTGAGCTTTTCCTGAGCTTTTACTTTTAAATCTGCAGCCCCCCCCCCCCCCCCCCCCCTGGTAAGTGCTTCTGGACTGTGTAGTTCAGTCCCAGCTTCACTGTGTAGATAGTTCTGCTTTCAGCTTACAAGTCCCAGCAGCCTCTGTTCACCTTTATTGGGACTATGATGAGTAAACCAAAATGCTACACACTGCCATCTTGTAGTCAAATCTAAATCTGCATTACAATAGCAATGCGCATTGTTACAAAAATAAAGATGTGGCCTTTCCCTTTCCAACTTGTGGGTTTTTTTTGAGGGGGGGGGGGTGCAAGGTTACCAAATAATGGTGTTGGATCTTTAAGCCTATGCTCCTAAGCAGTCATGGCTACCTGGGGATCTATGCATAAAACTCATAGAATTCTCTGGAGACCTAACAAATAACCAAGTGGAGTAGCTGGAATAATGCACCTTAAAGTGTATCTAAACCGTAAAACAAAAATGAAAAATATATGTTTATCATTCCTTCAATGGTGGCTGCAATAGTTTTTTTTTTTTTCCTTTGTATTCACTTTAGGATTCTGCCAGTAATACACTTTCTGGCTGAGGGTGACAATGCTCACTTGCTCCAATGTATCTAAGAAGTGTTGTAACCATAGGCTGCTTTATAGAATTGAACTATAAACATTGTACCCTCTTTTTAATCTCCATTACATAATGAGCATTTCATTGTAGTTCACAGTGTGTAGCATTCCTGACTTTTGGAGGCATGATTATACCCCTAAAGACAGGGAGGACTGACATTTCACTTCACAGTAGATCACTTAGACAATGGTGGTACATGTAGACAAATGAGGTGAAAACAAAAAACGATTTTATTACTCAGTCACTTCACTTGTCACAGCACAGGAAAAGAGTCTTTAAAGTGTTACTAAACCCAGGACCCTGCATTCACTATATCTGGTCTCCCACAGTACACAGAACATGGAAGTGAAATTATTTTATAAAATAAAAACTGCTAAACACTTTTTCTCATCAGCAGTAAGAGCAATCTTGTGACTTATATCAGTGTCCAGCAGAGCACTGGTTGAAGCTTGTGGGAGGAGTTTTCATTCTCCCTGATTGTCCTATGAGGTTGCATAACCCTTGACCGTCTGTGTGGACAGTGCTGATTGGCCTGGTGCTGATCATATGCACTCTCCTAAGAAGAAAAAACACTCTCTAGCAATACACACCAAACTAAGCATGTGCAGTTTTGCCCAAAGCCTCTGTTCAATCAGGAGATGGATTGGGGACAGTAGAAGGGGAGGATCAGAGAAGACAGGATCAAATATCCTTTTTACACAATATGGAGGATTAACCCCTTAGGTTCCACAGTGACTATATCAGGCATGCTTTACTGCATATACAGACTGATTTTTACTTTGGAATTAGTAACACTTTAAGTTGAGAACACTCCTGTGTTAGAAACTCTTTAGCAGACATCACTAGTGGCAACAACCTCCTTCTTCTTCAGGAGAGTCAACAGCTCCGATGTATGAGGTTCCAGCGGAAAAGCCCTGCAGACACCTCCAGTAGGATCCTCCTCTGGGACATAATCCTGTATTTAGGAAGAAATGATTACAGGCCTCAGCTTCAAGCCTAAGCACATTCAGGCTACTTCCAGCAGACAGGCCTAAAGAAGCAGCTCCAGCACACACACTCTCCATGGGTGAGATCCTGGAGGAAAGTGAGCTTGCATCAGCCAGCCCCAAATGATTATACCTTGTCCCATAATGCACCACTGGCACAGGAAACTCCTAGTAATGGGCTGGGAGAAGATACCCACATTCAGGATCCAGACCTACTGTGTGCTCCCACACTAATACAAGAGGTGACAGTGCCACCTACTGACAAAATACAGAACTGACTCAAACTGGACATAGAGGAAGATGAAAGTGGTTGTAAAGGCAGGTTTATTCCCTTAATACATCCTCTGCATTAAGGTAAAAAACCTTCTGTGATGCCCCCTGCCCCAGATATTTACCTGAGCCTGATCTTGATCCAGCCCTGTGCCTGAGAGCAGCACCTCTTCTCGTTCTCCTCACTGGACATGGAGACAGCAGCAAAAGGCATTAGCTCCTGCTGCTGTCAATCAAATCCAGTGAGGAGGGGAGTAAAGGGCAGGGCTGAGCAACACCGTGTCTGTCAATAGATGCATACATCCCAGCTTGGGATCGAGCCTGCATGAGTGCCCCTATAGTAAGTGACTTCACTTGTCAGAAGAGAGGAGGAGCCAGGAGAAACCGGCAGGGGACCCCAGAAGAGGAAGATTGTGGCCAAACCATGGCACAGAGCAGGTAAGTATCAGGGGCGGACTGACAACTCATGGGGCCCCCGGGCAATAGGGGATCATGGGGCCCCTGTGTCCTTGCCCAAACTCAAAAAAGCCTATGAAAAAGGTACCAGGGGCATCTCATGGGGCCCCCTACTGACCCTGGGCCCTCGGGCAGTGCCCGAGTTTCCAAATGGTCAGTCCGCCCCTGCTAGGGACAGTACCTTCCACAAATCCTTTCCATTGTGCCAGAGAGACCATGAGGCCATATCTTCACCTACTCCACTGAAAAAGGAGATGCGGCCTGCATCATCCAACTCCAATCAGCCTACAGGAGAGACCTTTGGTTAACAGACTGCCGACTGGAGGGAGCAATGTTTATTTGTGTTAATGTGAAACATTTTACCTTGTAAGGGGTCCTCCATACTGTGATAAGATCTAATTACAGGGCTTGTCCTGGGTTTAATAAAACCCCTTTGCCTTGCTACTCGTGGCTCAGTGAGCATTGTGTTCAGTTCTGGACAGGTCACCACTATGGGACAGAAGTAGGGAACAACATCTCAGCAGATCCTTCAAGCTACATTTGAAGAATGTACAGTGATATCTACCACAAACCACATTTTAGTTTGAATGCACATACATGGGGAGATGGAAAAAAAAGAGTATCATCCTTAAATTTTGTGTAGACAAGTGCCGGCTACATCATTATGCCATTTATGGACATTTATAGATGAGACTATGGTTAACCATTTTCCCCCTAGTGCCCAGTACTGAGAATGCTACATAACTTCCTGTTAGTAGAATGGATTCAGTTTTTCTGACAGGAGAGGATCCTGGGACCTGTAGTCCTATGGCTAATACATACTGTATTCCTGAGAACTGATTGAACTACAACTACCAGAGAGCTGGAGAACAAGAAGAATGCTGGGAAAGCAGATATATTCTATAGTAAGGGACTGTCTCTCTCTCTCTTGGTGTGGGATTCAAAGCTGAACACAGGGGGGACTGCCGTGCTCTTTCAGAGACAGATTGCTGGCCTACTGCTGCAGAACTCTGCACATCAGTTCAGCACAGCGGTGGCACCGACCGTCACTCTGGGATCGCATCAGCTTCTCTGTATTGGGACTGTCACTGTTTGGTTTTCACACAGATATCTCTGTTCACTTCACTGACAGGCCATCAGGCGGCAACTCTGCAGATCTCTACAAACAGCCTGGGGAAAGAACTCTGTTCCTAGGAGGCCGTGCCATCCATGGGATTGATGAGCAGGCAGATTCCCAAACTCTTTCTGTCAGAACTCTAGAGGCACTGCATGCAAACACCTTTACACCTCCGTACCAGGAGATCTTTGCTTG